CGCCGCCACGGCCCAGCCACTCAACCTTGACCAGGTACGCGAGTTGGCCACCAATTATTGTACCCTGTACGATAAGGAAGTAGAGGCAGTTGCAGCGACCGCCGAGGCATCAGGCAGCGTGTCTCCTGCGAAGGCAGTACTCGACTTTGAGAAGTACCAGCTGGAGCTGGCGGTGGACCGGGTGCACGTGAAGCTATCCAAGTTTCAGGCGGACGTACCGTTGCTGCGGAACTGCACGAGTGTTTTTGACAAGTAAGTCTGCGCATCTCATTCTCTGTTCACTGTTGACGTGTGTGCGTGCCAGCCGGGTGTACCTCGACGCCTTCCGCTTCTGTTGCTGTTGGTTGCTACGCTGGAGGGTGGGATGGACTCGTGGGGGTGAAAGACGGCGGTAGCGGATGCCCCCTTCACCCACCCCCCTATGCGCGTTCGCTGGTAGGGCTCGCGTCTTTTGCCTTTGTCTTTCGCGCTGCGCTGACACAGCACGCAGACACGCTTGCAAAAAAAAAAAAAAGAGGGAGATTCTATTCGATGGATTCGACCCCTACCACCAGCAGAAACAAGTAAAGGCACGGGAGAAGCTTCCGCGCCGCCGTTGCACAGCTGTGTCATCTGCCCGATGCACAGCCGGATGGGGGCATAACCTCGCAGTCTTTCCGTTGTTTCTTTTATCTTCTTGTTGTTGGTGTTAATGGTGCAAGTGTTGTTCGCCGGCTGTACTGCTACCCTCATGTAAAGGGGGTTCTTCGGTTTCAGCAGAAGCACCGCACGCGGCAGCTGGCGATGCCGCCACTCCGCCACCCACCCACACGTGAAAAGAAGTACCACCCGCCAAACGAAAGCACCGATGTCCATCAATGCCCAACCGTGATTTCGTTGTTGTTGTTGCTTACAACTCCTTTTTACGAATTGCCATCCTCGCACTCCGCCTGCGGAGAAAGAAAGCAAGCATTGTCCGAGCGTGTATCACCTCTGCCCTTCTGGCAGCCGTCCTTCTCGTCGCTTTCCCTATCCAAACCCGTGAAGCGGCGCCACCACGCAAGCGAGAAGGTCACCAAGAGAAGGATGGAGGAAGGCCGGTGTGTGGGGACACATGCGTGTAACAACAAGAAGCAGATTGAGGCCCCTCTCTCCATACGTATTCCTATCTACCCACCTTCCTTTTTTTATTCTTCTTGATTATATATTGATTGTTGTTATGCTCCTGCACGCACACACACACACACACACACACACACACAGGTGAAGCACATCTTCACCCCCGCCCCTTCCCACCCCCTCCATCAGCGCTTGTCAACGATCGAAGAAAGGGTACCGCCCCACGGACTCCTTTTTTGGCACCGCATCCCTCCCCGATTTTTTCCTTCAACCGCATTTTTCCCCCAACCCCCCCCCCCGACTACGGTGCGCTCTTACGCAATCGACACACCCTATATTCTTCAACTCTTAGCCTCCCCACACTCCCCCTCTCCCTCACTCACTTGGGTTGCCTTCGCCAAAGTGGAAGAGGGTTCCTCGCTTCAGCGCGGATAGACGTATACTTGTAGAGAGCCCTTGTGGGGGATTTAAGAGAGGAAAAGAGAAGAAGCGCCAATTGAAAATAAAACAGAAGGTCAACAAGGACAGCTCACACGTACCAAACAGTGCAGCATTGATTCAGATAAACACAGATATATATGTGCTAGATCAATAGATATATCTATCATAGTTTTGTACCTATTTTTGCTGGCTTTCTGTGCTTGCGTCCGTGTGTGTGTGTGCTACGGGATTTATCCTCTTCTTTACATTTTTTTTTGTTTATTCTCGCACCGTGCATTTCAGCAATTTCTCGGCACCGGTACGTCGTCTCGGATACACAGCTGCGCTGAGACACACCTCAAGCCGCTCGTGGTGAAGAAACATCGGAGCCTAACAGACGCCCCCGCCCGCCCTCCCCAACACACAACTAAAGGCATCGTGCGTAACAAGTAGGGGGATCCCCTTTGAGTTTCTCCCGTACGTAATCAAAGAAATATATCTCTGTGTCTTCCTCATTTTGTATTTTAATAATGTCCACCGGAGTTTCGAGCGTGTCGGCGCACCGCAACGGTGCTGCCAACGAAGACAACTTGGACGAGATCAAAGAGTCGTTGAACCGCATCGAGGGCGTCCTCAACCGCGGTCAGCACCTTCTGTATGGTGACGAAGGGGAGGACAGCGAGGCCGTGGACGTCAGTGCGGTCGCATCCGTACCTGCCCACCAGAGCAACGGCCGCGCTTACAATTCCTACCATACCACGCCGCCGAAGCGTTCCACAGTCAATGCTGTCTCGCCTGACTTTCAGTGGCCTCCAGCCACCCACACGTCGGCGCCGCCACGGAACGGCACCGCACAGGCAGAGTCGGCATCGAAGTCCTTGCGATATCATCAGGCCATTCACGACAGCTCGTGCACCCGCATCTCCGGCAGCGCCACACGTGCCCGCTCAACCCTTACTCGCAACTCCGGTGCACTCCGCCTCTCGAAGGCGAAGAAGGGTGAGGAGGTGCTCTCTGTTTCCGCTCGTGCCCGCCGGATTCAGGCAATCAAAGAGGAAGGCGGCCGCATGCCTAACTTTGAGGAAGGCGTCAACGACGATGACACGGCGCAGAACATCTCGATCGCCGAGCTAAAGGCGCGCATTCACCGCGAGCTGGAAGAGTACCACCGCAATGGCCCGCTCATGCACCGCCATGCGTCATACCAACGCAAGCAACGCGCCTCCACCGCTCCCCGTTCCTCTGAAGCATTGCGCTCGTCCGCCGTGAAGGCAGCTGGTGTAGGTAAGACCCCCTGTCGCACAGTGAAGACGTCGAATGTGAAGACACCGCAGTGCATGGCGCGACTGCCGACGTCCACTTTGCAGCAGCAGCGCACAGCACCTATCCGGGGTGTCGACTCGACACCTGCCGGACGCGCCACGACGAAGTCCGTTGGCCCGAGCGCATCCGTGAAGCCCCGTCCAAGGACGGTCGTTCCACTTCCCTCGCGGCCCACCCCAGCCGCCACCGTCGCGCCTGAAAACTCGGGCGCCGCGAAGCCTTTCTGGGAACGCCTCTACCGCGACGCTGCTGCCCAGCAGGAGAAGCGCGACCAGCTCGCCGAGCAGCGCCGCATTGAGCTAGAGGCGGAGCGCGCCAAGCTCCTCCCGCGCCGCAGGGTGCATCGCCCGCAGTTGCACTCCACCTACACCGCCTACCACCGCGTCCTGCAGACACACCCGGAGAGCACCAGCGGGCCGCGCAAGCTGGAGCCGAGTCTCGCAGCGGCGAGTGGCAGCATTCCACCGCAGCACGTGAGCTACTTGCCAAAGCGTACGACGGCCACCCTCGTCAACACCGCCGCCGCAAAGCCGCCGACGTCCGATACGGCAGCGAGAAACAGTGCACCTCACGGTGCCTTGGGGCACCTGGCAGCGCGTCAGCCCTCTGCCCAGCAGGAGACCAGGAAACGCGCTGATGCGTGGACCCCGCAGGTGCCGATCGCGCTAGCGCCTGGCTCACGCGTGGCGACGGAGAATGACGTACAGCGTAACCGCGCCGCTGCCGTGGAAGCACCGAAGCTGGAGGCTGAGAGGGCGCCGCCGCCGGTACCGGGAGAGCTCGCGGCACCCCTCTCCGAATGCAAACACGACACTAACCGTGAGCGGCTTGCAGATGGCGTTGGCACGCACGAGCACCCCGGGAACATCGGCGCGAATCGCGCGGATGAGATGGATGTGAAGCATTCCGATCCCCACTCCGACTCGGATGACGGGCTGAAGAAGACCCCGCCTCACCCTTACGTGGCCCCGCTTGACCTCAGCAATATCAAAAAGTAAGCTATTCTCTTCGCCATTGGAGAGACTCGGTGGCGTGTTGCTGCCACTCGGGCTTGTTATGCTCACTCTTTTGATTTGTTATTTCTCAATAGCTGTTGCAGGCTACGTGTGATTCGTCCACACCCGGCGACCAATCCGAGCACACGATTGCTTTTCTTGCTTGTTTGCTTCAGCGCGCTTCCTGGCGAACCTCCTTCCCATACGGATGCATGTAACCGAAGATGCGTGTAGTGTGTGCGTGCACGGTGTTGCAGCTGTTTGGGTGTTCGCTATGGTCAGCTTTCAGGCTTCCCCGTGGGGTTCGTACTCGAGTGGCTTGTTCGCGAAGGTGCTCCAGCCTTCCCGATTGCTACCACAGTGTTCGACACCTCTGTGCGTGCCAGCGGTGCGTTTACGTGTAACGACAAGCGCTCGTCGCGCTTGCAGCCGCCGCCCTCACTCGCCGCAGTTTATCAATTACTTATCGTCGTCACGACCGACCCTGTACTTGCTTTCGTTTGAATTACTTCTTCTCTTTACTACCATTATTGTTTGTTTGTGTTTTCGTCATTAATCCACCGCATGGAATTGATGGTTTGGGTTTTGTGTGGTGAGTGTGTACTCCGCATAGGAAGGGTTAGAGTACTCCAAGGATATCAGCGTAGTTTCAATGGTTCACCCGTGCGGTGACAGCACCGCCAAGGCCCTCGCGTAGGCCCCCCTATGTTGGAGGAGTTCTGTGTACAACGGCGATGTGTGGGCTGGACAGCTGGAACACAGAGCAAGGCAAACACGGATTAGCGGTGCCATGCGTAAGCCGTTTCATAGCTGGCTAGCGCGCCGTCCACACCACAAGCGAGGTCTAATGCGCACCCCCTGCTCTGGGCTGCGTGCGGCGCTGCTCCTCCGCGGGCCCCCGAATCCAATCGCCAAACGCTGTCCCCGCCGCCCCCAGGCCTCCCCACTGGCCCACCCCCTCACCCCGGCCCCGCCGCCCGCCCCCGCCCACGGGGGCCGTGGTTCTTTTTTAAAAAGTGTGACAAGAGTGGGGTTTGAACCCACGCCTCCAGGGGAGATCACGACCTGAACGTGACGTCTTAGACCACTCGACCATCTTGCCTCGACGTTGGTCGGCTGAACATAAGCATTCTCAACTCTTTATGAGTTGAGAATTAAAAAGTATAGCACCGATTGGTTTCGATCCAACGACCTATGGGTTATGAGCCCATCGCGCTTCCCCTGCGCTACGGTGCTGCTGAGCGCCGGCACGGCAAAGCTAAAATCTCTCAAGATGCTGTGCACAAGAAGAAGAAGCTTTGCCACATAAACCCGGTCGAAAAACGAACAAAATCCGCCGACTTGCCGCCGCAGCAGTTAAATGCCGAACTGTACCTAAGCCCCCACCCATCAAAAACATGCAAAAAAAAAGTGTGAAAAAGACACCTCACTGCTAGGTGCTACTGAACACGGATAGAAACAAGCAACCAGAAGACCACTAAAGAAACAAGTATACACACACACCTCGCTTTTAGTGCCCCACAGCTCGAAAAACTTCTCCGACCGCACCTTCCACTTGCAGCGAAGATAAAAGCACAATAACCTTCCAGTCACATTTCTCATGCGCAAATTCCCACAAAACAAAAAAAACAGCACGAAAAAAGAAAAAAAGACTCGACTTTCCGCTCTTCCGCTTTTCCGACTGCTCTGCAACTGGGGGAATCGGGGAGGGAGACGCCAAACCTGGCACCATTTGAGGGCAAGTAGAGACACCTAACGCGCCCCCCAAAGTCAACCCAACGCATAAAACACCAAAAAAAAGTATATACATCTATTTCGAACGTAAACATTTACACAAATAGAACCCCAAAAGTCTCAAGACCTACCAGTCTGCACGGTGGCTTGTGGCGTTTGGCGTGTTAACGGCGACTTAATAAGTTTTAGAAGCAAAATAATCTTTCATTACCGTAGAGCCAGCAGGAACTGGTACAACAAAGGAAATTAGGAATAAAAGAGAAAAACATCCTTAAGAAAAAATGGTCGTGCACTCTTACGGTGAGTGAAAAAAAGACGAAAAACCGCTTAAAGCAGAGAAGTAATCCGCAGACAAACACCCTTTATTCCGCTCGGCATGAATAATCTTCACATAAGGTAGCGCTTTGTGCGTTCACTAAGAGAACTTCCCCCAAATCACATCACCAAAACAACCCAGAGGAAATTTGCAGATCATACCATGCCAACCCCATTATCAAACCTCTTTCTCACAACCCCAGTGATGACAACTTGACAGCAGGCAATCAAAGGTACACACCCAACTAGATGACCAAATTGGAAAAGACGACTTCTGGCCCGTTGGTTCGACCCAATGCCCCGTTATCCGCGAGGTTTCTCTAAAGAAAACAGCGAAACTGACTCACCATCATGAATTCCTGGGGCTGTAAACCTCTAAGACCCCAGCCACATTCTCACATGGAAAGTGCTACCACGACCACCCAAAAACGAGCTTCCAAATTTTCTACTTTCATAAACCCGCAGTTGAAGGGAGAAAACAGGTTTTGAACCTTTCCAGCACAAGTTTTCGCGGGACTACGGGCAAAGAAGCTTTAAAAGCCCACCGCCAGTAGGTTTTTTTTGCATCCCATTTATGAATCAGTTACAGCGGTAGGGAAGTGTTACTCTTTGTCTTCGCGAGTCTGCTTCTAGCGGTTTGGTCTCCGCCACGAATACCCGCGGGGGCATTGAAATTCATAGGCTTTCTTGCCGAAAAATCGTATTTAAGGATCTTGGAGTGGGAAGTGCGGGGCGAGGGTTGCTCACTCCTGTCGGTGGCGGTTTTCGTGCCAAAAAGAGAGATTCCGTTCGAATTCTACCTTCTAGACACAGCTCCTCGCTTGGTCGTGTCCAGCTATGCGCAACTTCTGGTACTCAAATTGATCGATTGCACAAGAAGTGAAGGGGGGAGGTTGCTTTAATGTCCAGTGTCTTTCCTTTTCTTGGTATTCGCTTCTCCAGGCTTAGAGTCGGTGGCTTGGAGTTAAACTCCCATTAGAAAAGAATAAGCAGCCACGAGGCTTGTCAATTCATTGGAAGAAAAATTTATTTGAGTTTGGAAATTGCAAGTGTTGCTTGTTGTTTTTCTTTTTGGGAGGTCTGCTGCACACACCGTGATTTCTGTAGACCAGATCATGTGTATTTTGGTGGCAGGCGTAGTGTTAAGTTCTACTGGGAATGGAGTTGGTGCTCGTGAGAAAGTGCAGTGGGTGTATTTGCCGTTAGGACACCGTTGATTGGGTCTCAAAAGTTAGATCCGCACGATATTAAAGGGATTCTTTGGGTTGCCTGTTTTTCCATTGGATGGCAACATGTTTCTCACGGTCTTCAGCGAAGCAACTTGCGTGAATATAAAAATTCATGTCTGTGCAGCTTTGCAGCCATTTGTCTTCGGGGGAAGGTGTTTGAATGCTGGCGGTATCAAGTGGATGTTTTCACCGATGCTTGAATGATGTATTGTTGCTCTGTGAAGTTTTGGCACATGAACAGTCGGTGGATTTAATTGGTTTGTTGCGTTTAGTACCTGGATTTCCTTGTTCTTGTTCTCCCTGTTTTACGTTTATTTTTTCTATTGGATTTCAACAACTTAGTTTGGAGGGTTGGGTGTTTTCAGTCTGCGCGCCTCGTCCGTTTTTTTCACTCCGGCGCGGGGCCTGTGGTGGTTGGCGGGGGTTTGTGGTGCGTTTTTTCTTTGGGGGGG